TCGGGGTTGAAAGAGCGGACCGCGCCAACGGCAGAACTTAAGTTACCTACTTGATTGCACACTAATGATACCGCCAGGTCATGCCTGTGGTCTCAACTCAAGAGATACTCATGCCAAGTTATGCTTATGGTTAATATGTTAACTAGCATGTTATCACTCATTCTCGTGAAGGCTAGTTCTATTATAAACATAGATATAGCTGTGAATCCACAACACCCAGGATAACCGAAAGGATTAAGAATAAGTGAGGTCAACTAAACGGAAATAGAAAGAAGCGGTTGTTCGGAACCAGAAAACAAGTTTAACACAGTTTTACCTTTTTTTCAATATATGATATGGAAATGATAGAATGATGATAAGAAAGGCATGAAACTTCACCAGGTGTACAACTCAGAAACTCTCAGCTCGTAACTTGCCAAACGGCTTTGAAATCGGGGATGGAAAATGCAAAGGTTCATTATTCCGAACTGGAGAATCAGGTGGAAATTTTATCCGATCAATAATAATTGAAATGCCGAAAGAAGGATAGGAAATAGTGTGAAAGTACGCCTCCTAACGAGTCCGGTAGTGTTTGCATTTCTTGATTGATCTCAACTACAGCAACTGTTTGCGCTCTTAGCTTTTTTTTCTGTCAATTTCATTCTAATCATGGAGACTTCTATCCTCTAAGTTAAACACACCTCCGAGTGTAGGAAATAAATGAAACTGATTACTGACTTTCTCGCTCAAGCATGATCCAACATCTATTCTCATAGTCCGGCACCAATTAGGTAAACCAGTTCCTTTTTTCGGATATGGCAGATTGTTTTTGCACGAGTTATAAACTTCCACTGCAGACTACAAATAACTGCAATCAGAAATTGAAATTCTTTTGCGATAAATGTCTTTGCCTAGAAAACTCACATTATCCTCTGCATTCACTGTAAGTACCAGTAGAAGACCAGTAATGAAGGCGTTCGTCATGTCAAATAGATTAGTTGTTTTGAAACTCACCCGGGATCAGTCAAAAATTAGCTTATCTAAATTATCTTCATATCACCAGTATCTGCCGACGTTGAGCAATAAGGCAGGCGTGGATTTCACAAAATCTAAGATGCTTGGGAAAAAGGCTAATGGTTACTGAGAAGAGTAACTCCAGGAATCCCTCCTTTGAACATTTTGTAATCAAATGTTTTGCATTTTAAACAGTCACCGGTTATCCCGTTCACTTAGAGTAGTGTAGCTAAGCCAGAATGGCGATATCAGTCACAATGATTCCTGTCCCATTCTTTTCTAGAACCACGTCAAGAGGTAATCTCGTCCCAGAGCCGCAACTGCAAAATATGCTCATCGCAGCACGCGATAAAATTGCTTGTGGTATCAGCAAGCGATAGACCCGCCTTTCTCAGCCATTCTTGTAATTTTCGGAAAGAGACGAGAACCAGTCACAGTAGGAATGCCTTCGTTTTGATCTTTTCGAATGTTCACTTTGGTTTGTTTTTAATGAATGAGGCTTCTGACGCCACATTTTTCTCAAGCATCCCTGCTCCCACACAATCGTAATCGTAGACGTGCCTCTAATTGGCAAATACCATTATTCCTCCTTTTTTCCCTCTTCTTGTGAGAAAGGGCTGTAGGGACGATAGACAAAAAGACCTAGTTAAAGTCTCTAATATTACCACAGCCATCTTTGTTCCTAGAACACAAGATTTTGCAGGAAAATGCAATGCTTTATGGTGACCCTGTAGCGGGTAAAAGTTGGATGAGACGCAAATTCAGGTCTTCTGGATACTTTAATTGGCACGATCTTCCAGATGTTTCACAAGCAATTCTTTGGAACAACGGCTTCGTCCTATATTCTGCAGGAATGTCGGAATGCTGAGCTGCTTGAAGAGGTAATTTGGCATGCAGTTCTTCCAAACACGGAATGTTCGTCTTCTGCAACTGGACATTAAAAAAACATACATGGGCTGTTCAAAGCTTCTCTATTCAGCCCTTCTATCGTGCTGCATAGAAGGTCTGAATAGAGTAGCTTTGAGCATTTCGTGAAAATCCAAGTGCGATTACAAACACTTCTTGCTTCAAGTATGACTTCCTTGAATTGATTTCCGTCACTTACCAATTAGTGATTATCTGAGTTCGAAGTAAAGGAGTATCTAAGCATGTACTAAAGGCGCGACATACGTGGTCCTACAAGGGACACCCCAGTGGCTTAAGAAATCACCTTCGAATCTGAAGGAGAGGATGGCTACTTCCACTATCGAGCTGACAGTGTCGTACACAGTATCAGTATCATGCTTTACATATTTACGATGGTCTCGGTTGTTTAAAGGCACGGTTCACGATAATTTTGGGTAACCCAGATTATGTTTAAAAATGGAAGGCAGGTGAAGAAACTGCGTGAATCAGGGTTTACAAAGTGAAAGAGACTTCAAAAACCCTCAAAAAAGGGGGCTGGGCGAGAATGAAACCAGAAAAATGAAGAAGAGTGGGGCGTTCGGACGAGCTGTACAATGTGTCTCACTGAGTGAGTGTGGGTCCTAGTGCGAATAATAGACTATGGTAAGCAAAAATTCATTCACTTATGAGCAAAAATAGACAAAAAACCCTAGTAACAGCAAAAATAGCTCACCTTTTTCAGTCTCTAGGAGTAGGAAATTAAATAAGGGATCGCCGCAGCAAAAAGAGTAACAGAGAATGAGAGATTGGAGGAAATACATAGCCTCATCACTCGGCGATCAGCTGATTGTGTGTGGGTCCTAGAACGATTTGTTGCAATCTATGTTGTCTCGACACTCGTCTAACGTGACACAATCGAGGGGCGTCAAAGCCAATTACGGCAGCAACAGGGCTTCCACTATGCCCTGAGCACC